TTTTATAAATTCAAACTGAAACCAAACTGAAACCAAACGGACTCTATAAATTCCCATATTTTACAAACATAATAAAACACCTAAAATATGACTCTCAGTAAAATTTCAGAATTTTCCATGCAGTAACCGATTTTTAAAAATTCAAACAACAATTCTGCAGATTCAATAAATAAAATATTACCCATATCAAATCAACTCCAAAAATTCTAAACATTTAACACAACACATATAAGTCACAGAGGCATGACATATTCAAATTTGAGCTCCTTTCAGTCAAGCATGAATTTATTATGCATTTAACAATATTCTGGACAGAACACAATTTAATTATTAAAAATAGCTACAGGTCTCCAAAAATTATGAAAGTATTACACAAGGCAGGAAATGAACAGATAACACATCCCTCAAAATTTCACATCATTTCGAGCAGCGAGCTATTTTTAAAAATTCGAACATCAAAACAGCGATTAACAAGCTCGACAACTTGACAATTAAATCACAACACACAATTTATCGTCCGAGGCCTTTTCATAAGACCAAGGACTCGACATTGTTCCATTATCCACCGACTTACACGACTTTCGAGGTCTCGTTCGATTTTCGAGAAAATCGAAGAGATCCCGAACATACGAACACAACAATTCATATAATCGCACATATTCACATAATAAATTCACATAATAAATTCACATCATATATAACACGAGCACTTCACGAACATGAACAATTCAACGAAACATATATGAATTAAACGAGACGGAAAAACGACGAGGTACCGTTCTCGAGAATCGAGCGAAAACGGACAGACGTAAGGTTGACGGGCTCGATCGAACGACACGTGAAGACGGCTCGAGGCTCAACGGCAAGCTTCGTCCCGCCGGAAAAGAGGCTACTCGCCGCTGAGGAGTCGGCTGTTCGGGGAAGAGCTACGCGAGCGGGAATGGCCGTCGGAGCTTGTCGGAGATGGAGGGTTCGCCGGAAGAACTTCGCGGCTTGCAGCAATGGAGGAAGGCGACGGGCTCGCAGCGGCTTGTCGGTGTTCACCCGTAGAGGTGCTGCGTGAACCGGGCTCGCCGGAAAAGGAGGAGAAGGGTCGTCGGAGTTCCTTCACGTCGCCGGGGTTGCGGCCTGATCGTGGTGGTTCTGCTCGCCGGAAGTTGCTGAGGTCGCCTGGTTGCTGGCGCGACGGCAAGGGAGCAGCGACTGGTGGTGCTGCTCGTGGTGGTGTCCGAAAAACGAGCGAGATGACGAGGATGACGATGATGAAAGGAGGGCGATTGCGTGCTGATCGAATTAAACTGACGGGAAAAAGAAAACAGAAAGCCGAAAGGAAAGAGAGACAGAAGGTGAAGTCGATCGTTTTCAAACTTGAGATTTTCTCTCTTCTTCCTTCTACTGCGCGACCGAAAACGAGAGAAGAGGGAGAATGAGAAGGCTGCGGGCGTGTTGATAGAAGAGAGATTAGGGTACACATTAATTGACTCGGTTTTACAAAATTTATCTTGATGTCCAAGACATCATACACACACGCGCGTGAAAGAAAGAAAAAGAGGAGAAAATCTGTCGGGCCGGGCCCGAGAAGTTGAGCCAAATGGATTTTGGGTCGGTTGGGACATCAAATCGGCTCACGGGCTCGATTAAAAATTTAAACGGACATCTTCGGGCCCAATTTCGGTTCCAACGAAAATTCTCGGGCTCGATTTCGAATGCAAACGCGCGATAAAATATACCGAACAATATATATATATATATTTCATATTTTTATAATACACATTAATAATTAAATATATCACAAAAATCAATTAGACAATTACACATTTAGCATTTAATCACATTTGACAATTAATAAATATTATGGCATTCAAGAAAAATAAATATAAATATTATCACAATAATAATAATAATAATAATAATAATAATAATAATAATAATAATAATTACTACAAATAAATCACAAATAAATGGGGCATTACACACCCCCATTATGTTTTTCAGGTGACGGAGTCGAGCGTGTCGGGTGATCATACGCGTGGCAAGCGTGGTCATGATAGTCGAGGACATTTTTATCTACATTTTATGTCCTAGTTTTATGATCATGTAATATTCAGATATGTATGCATGTATTCTGTATTTCGGATATGCTTCCGCTAGCCAGACTAAGACTATTTGAGACATTCAGACATTGCATGTGTGATTCCATTCTCCGTAGCAGATCGATTGGTTGCATGTTTTATTTATGTCCGTGAGTAAGTTACGTAAGTTTTTACCTGTGACATCCCGCAACAAGTTAGTATTTTCGAACCAAGCTTGCACAATCTTTCGAAAATAAAAGCGAAAATTTTACTCTGATTTTTCAAAGCTAAGTAAGGCGGGGTGTGACATCACCAAATTCGCTTGGCGCCCGAGGATCAAAGCAAGGTGAGCTTCGTGACGAGTAAGGGGACATACTGCTATGTCTTCATGCCCTTCGGCCTCAAGAATGCAGGGGCAACCTGTAACGCCCCACTTTTATTGGCCGAAAATCAAAATAAATTTTTCAAATTTATTTCAAAACACCTGAGGCGCTACTCATTTTCAAACGAACTTCCATACTTAAATAACTCGACATTCATTCAAATATCAAACTCAATCATCAACAATATTACTAACTCCCAAAAACTGGTTTTCCAAATTTTCATAAATCATCACCCAAACCGGGTTCCAACAATATTCATAAATTCTAAGGAGCATCTCCTTAATATTATTCAGTCATAAAATCCGAAATTCATAAAAGCAATAATACCCCCAAGTTCATAATCATAAAACCAGTTCATAAATGCGGAAGCATAACAAGTAATAAGGCCAGTCCTATAGACCGACCATCACTCGTCTACTCCGCCGTTGTACCTGCCTCGCTTAACCTGAAACGTGAATTTCAGGTGGGGATGAGCACAGCTGGAAAAAGTAGTGCTCATCACTATGCAGTAAACATTATTCACAATAATGAAACAGTAATCAATAATCAATAGGGTATGGTCGCAGCATGTATACGAATCAATTAACTATCCCAATCTCCCATCAATAATATCAATAATAGACTTGTGTGCACACCTACGCATAGACTACTGCCAACTATATATCAAATGCCCTCCGGCCTTACATCGAGTGTCCAGCCAGTAGGAGTAACCCGCCAGCCAAGGCCCCACCTTGGTCTTACCAACGAGGTTGTCCAACACAGGGACCTTTAACCTAGGTCTTACGGCTCAAAAAGTGTCCAAAACAGGGACCTTTAACCCAGGTCTTACGGCTCAAAAAGTGTCCAGCACAGAGACCTTTAACCTAGGTCTTACGGCTCAAAAAGGAGACTACCCAACGGGTACGTTCTATAGCTACGGGGATAACCGTTCGACGGCCGGTACAACTCACATCGAAGGCTACATGGTTCACATGCATACATTGATCATACCAAATTTAAAACAGTAATAACATTTACAACATAGACAATTTTAGAATAACAACCCACTTGGATACCGATGTAGCCAATTCACACAAGGCAGGAACTTAGGTCGAGGCTTCAGCTCGTCGAACCTCTCATTAATCATGATAGTCCTATCAACATAATATCCGACACATAGAATCACATACTGAGCACATAATTCAGTCAAAATAAACAAATATGATCACATAAACTTCTAACTCTATGCATACATCCCATTTTAACATGCTTTTTTTTAAAAAAAAACAATAAAATAAATACACATAGCATCTCAAATACATATAAGACATGCAGCAAATTCAAANAAAATAATCATGCATGCATCTCAATACAATGAAATCAACATATTCTGGCAACAATATCAAAGTATAATCACATCCTCAAAATGACTTCCAAATTCAAGACAAAATTACAATCTTTATGCTTCTCTCTCTTTCCTTTTTCTTTTATTCAACCATAACAGAAGCAGGCCCTTAAAAGCTGAAATTAATCACTCTAATATTTACTCATTATCAACAAGGAAATCACATAATAAGATCCAACAACTGAACTCAGCAAAGTAAGGTCAAACACACAACTTAAGACAACAAAATTCCTTTCCCTTTTTCTCACTTGATTGCTCTTCAAGTGTCATACAGCTTCGCATTTGATACTCAATAACAAAGTTTCCAATTATCAATTTAACAAAGGGTGAATTTTAAGTAAAAAGAAAAGAAAATAGAAATTGATCATTTTCGCAAAAGACCATTTATTCTTGAAAGGAAAATAATAATGATTTTGAAACATATGAGTATGTTTGGAAAAAGCTTAAGAAATAGCTATGTCCGAGGAAGACAGCAAGTCCATTTATCAAATCTTCATTAGCATGAAAAGAACCTTAGGACTGAAATTTTAACACCTCCATATAACAGCACAAAATACGTACATAATTGTAGCCACAATCAAAACAATAACAAATAAGACAATTTACACAAAAACAAGTTCTCTTTCATTTTCTTCTTTTCTTAAAACCTCCGCAATAACTTTAAGCCTTAATAATCGAACAAGCTCTTAATAAAACACATATATTCAGCCTGCTAAACACACATGAAAAACTCAACAAGTATCAGATTAATACCAATCACGATACATAAGCAACTCATATTTGTAGCATACTAACACCAGACTAAGGCTAAACATGTATGCAACATATAAAAAACAAGATAACTGGCCCAGATTAATACCAATATTTTAGAGAAATAAAACCCCAATTATGCTTCTCTTTTAACCATGACTCGGAGCATGCTAATCCGGTAAAATTCAAGGCTGAGTATTAACATCTCGAAACTCAAATAACCATAACAAATTCTTGGTATAACAATAGCACATGGTGACAACTCTTAAATCTCCCAAACAAATAAGACATCACAGATTCAAGCTTTCACTATCAAACTGACACTACAACATAGAATAATGCATATTCTCGGACATAAGAGAGATGTAAGGTCTCAGCTAGAATACCTTTCTCCAGACTAAGAAAATAAACCGAACGGGAGGCTCGGTTCGCTCGACGGACATCCCCTGGAGACGGTCGACAAGTCCCGAGCTGCTGCCCGGTAACAGGACATGGAAAACAAGCTGTTCGGGGCTCTCGGCAAAGGATCAACCCGCTTCTCTTCTCGCCCGGGGCCGAAAGGGCCGCTGTTCGTCGGAAAAGTCCCCGCTGCTCGTCGTATAACACGATCGGGGCTCTGCTGCTCGGAATTGAAACCGATGGCTGCTCGATAAGAGTCGCGAGCGGCTATTGCTTGTTGCCGGAGAAAAGCTCGGGGTCTACAGGGCTATGGCGAACGGCTGGGTGCGCTCATCCGTCGGCAGTGTAACGCCCCATTTTTATTTGCCGAAATTCAGAATAAATTTTTCAAAATTTATTTCAAAACACTTGAGGCGCTACTCATTTTCCAAATACAATTCCAATAATATCACATATGCAATTCCCAACGAGTTCAAAATTCATGAATAGTCAACACCAAACCGGGTTCAATAATCATAAATAGTCAACACCCAAACCGGGTTCAATAATTGACATCCACTCCCAAAACTGGGTTCATCAAATCCATAAATACTAGGGAGTACACTCCCTATCGATAATCCAGTATTCAACACAAGTCAGGAATGCATAATTCATAATAAGCAATTTAAGCAGCGGAAATAAGCGATAACATGACCACCACTCGTTTTCCTCTGTCATGCCCGCAAATACTAACTTGCATCCATGAAGAGCAGGTGTGAGGATCTCGTTATGTACAAATCACGAATTCAATAGCAAACGTAAACCTATGTGCAGCGGATCTAAAGGTTTGACGTAGAGAACTTACGGCTTAAAATTTATGTAGATCTGGTTGACCACGAATGGTTGACCACAATTGATTGACCGCAACACGCGTCTTGGGTTGCACGAACAAGATCAGATCAAACGGATGCAAACAGATCAAAACGAAATTTTGCTGCCAGACACCTTCCGGCGGCGCGTGAGGGCGCGTGCAGCGTCGGATTCCGGCGACGTCGGTGGCGATAGAAAGCTCTCGTCGAGACGGTCGTCTGGGTATATTGTACGTCTCAATCGGACTTCCGGTTAGTTCTGTAGGTCAAAATCTATTTCGTCTCGGTTTACCTACAGATCTTCTACTGTATTACTCAATACACCCTTCTTCAACTTGTACCAGTGGAGCAACAAGAAGAAGATAAAGCTCGAATGAGATCTAGATAGAGAGAGATGGGCGGCGTGTATCACGTGAATATAAGATTGGGATTCTCTTCTCATGAGCTTAATGATGTATATATGGAGCTACAGTAGGGACCCTAAGGAGATTAGGAAAAGGGCTCCTTAATTAATTAGACTAACTGTGGGCCAAACCCACTCCTCTAATTAATTAAATAATATTAATGGACCACCAACATTATATTATTGCACTCCCTTTCCCTAAACCAAATTACATTTGAGACTCCAATAATAATTACTCGATTTACCTCCCCACATTTAAGATATAATGTCCATTAATTAATTCGATTACTGACAATCAAGAATTAATTAATTTATTATTATTTCACCGAAGCTAGCGCTCGTTCATCACATTCTTATTATGCCGGAATTTAATCCACCTGCAGGGTTTAGCATAACAATCCTTCATGAACTCACTCCGGGGACATCATCAAACTAACGCACATGGTGACCGTAAATATCCTAACAGCACATCCTATATATAATAATATTACCCAAAACAGTAGGAATATTAATCCAGCGAACTGAACCTCACCCATGTGAATCAAAGGAATATATATTATATATATCTGCCTGTTTAATATCTTACGGGTTAAGAGAACGCAGTAATTAACCGAGGCCTAGTTCATTTACGACGATCAGTATAAAATGAACTTCTCCTATCTGGGATCCTGTTCAATACATAAATGTACTAGTGCAACTAATCAATCAAGACAAACTGTACAGTTCACACTACAACCGTTCGGATGGGGTGTTTATGTCCATCTAGGTTGTGAACAACTATTCTTGTTCGCAAGTGACTGATAGAGTGATCTTCGGTTCGCCCGATGACGACCCACCCTATCTAAGTGCAGAACAACAGAACGTAGAACTTGTTTAATCTAACATGATTCTCATTCATAAAGGGTAAATGTGTAATAACATGCAAAGCCAAGCTTTCAGTATATAACACTAACACCATCTCCTTCCTAGAGTCAACTCTCATGTGCACACCTATACCAATAGACCACTGTTGATACACGTATCGAAAACCCCCGCGGGCCTTACATTCGATGCCCAGACAGTAGGAGTAAATCCACCCCGAATGCCTGGAAACATCCCATCGGACTTACATCGAGGATTACCAGCCAAGGCTCACGCCCTGACTGTCATACATAATAAAGGAGCCACCCCATCGGGTACGTTCTATAGCTACTAGGATAACCGTTCGACGGCCAATATAGCTCACATCAAAGGCTACATGGTTCACATGCATACTTTGATCATACCATAACAATCACAGTTAATTAATGCATAGAAACTTTTCAAATAAAACCCACCTGGTAAGTCGGTAGAAAAAGCACACAAACAAGTCGATAGGTCGAGGGCTCGACTCCTCAAACACCTACATTTAATCAAGATAATCTCATAAATACATTATCTTGATATTTAAAATCATTAAAGACTCACACTTAATCAAAATAATGATTAAGGAATTTTATCGAAATTTTTCGTGGACTTGGAACTCTCAAATTTTTAAAAGAAAAGACTCGGGGGACCAAAAATAGAGTCTCAGGACTTAAAATAATTTTTTCCAAATTTTTCTCATTTTGAAAATATTTTTAAAACTGAAATTGGTATTAAAAACGGCTTCCGGGACCAGAAAGGGCCAAAAAGACGAGTTGGGCCGCGCTGGAATTAATCTGCCACGGAAATGGGCCTAGACACGTGAAATGGGCCGCAATTGAACAAGGGAAAAAGGCTGAAATTTTGGGCCTGCTAAGGGAACAAGGGCGCGGGCTTCACCGGGATCGCGGGCCGAACACGCCGGCTGGAGCTGGTGACTGAAGGCGGGCTGCGCGCATAAGAGACCACCTGGGCTGAAAAAAAAAAGTAAATTTGGTGCTATGGAAGAGAATCGAACTCCCAACCTCACACAAGGAAATAAGGGAAGGTTACCACTGAACCAATGGCTTGGTTGTGATTTAAAAAGGACTTATGGCTACTAAATTTAAACAAACAGGCCTGCGACTGACCAATAAAATTTCCTGGAAACAGCTGAACAGAAGCTGGAATTCAGCAACCAAAAGCAAATCGACGATGATGCTCGAGCAGGTTCCGGTTCGGGGAATTTCTAAAATAAGTGAATTTCTGAGTTTCGAAATCTTTTTAAAAAAAACGGGTTTTGGATCCAAAAACGAAACGACGAACATAATACAAAATAAACGACCACTCGCAAGACCCGAACAACAAGACGACGGCTCGAATGATAAATTGAGATTCGGAAATTCACGAGTTTTCACAGCAATTAATAGATCGATTTATACAATGAGAGTTCCAACATATCCACATCACTTAACAAATAAATTCACGGATCAACACAATGAACAAACGATCGAACATAACGAACCAAATTTCCAAAAATCAACGAGAATCGATACAACGAGCACGATTGAACTAACGACGATATAATATAGGGCACAAAAATAAAACAAGGGAGTTCGAAAAATGGCTACCCGTCTTCGGGAATTTCGAGCTATCGGAAAAGGGGTTGAACGAACGGGGATCGAACGGACTCGATAGAAGTCGGAACTCCTCGAAGGTGCTGCACGTGAACGGAAAGTGACGCTGCCCTCGACGACGGACGGCGACTGGTCGGTGATGGACGGCGGCGAACAGGGATGCCTGAGGTGTTCGCCGGAATTAATGGCTCTGAACGGAAGAACGGGCGTAAACTGCCTGTAAAATGGACCGAATCATAGGCTTGCAATTGAAGGTAGCGTGCTGCTCGTTTGACGGCAGTGGCTGCTCGGAGATGGCGCGCCGGACGAACAGGATCTCGCCGGAGAAGAAGGATCAGACTGATTTTTTTCTTTTGAACCGAGCGATGTTGCGATTGAAGGTGAGGAGAGGATTGAAGAACGACTTCTCTGATTAATAGGTGCGAGAGATCAGAACGTGCGGGGCTAATCCATAAAAATAGCAACCAGATTTTTGAAATGGTGAGATAAGGAGAAGACTCGGTCTCGTGAAGGAGGAAGGGAAAAGAAATCTGCCAATTGAATTTTAATAGGCCAAGGTGTTGAATGAATTTGGGTTGAGGTCAATTAATACATAGGGCCATGATGATTATATCACTTGGGCTAACATATAACTGAAAAATTGGGCCAAAACATAGTTGGCTGAAAATATAAATTTAATAACACGGTTCGGCTCTCGGGCCCGACTACGTAGCGATAATACGGTTTTTACTCGAGCTTGATAGGTTAAATCGGATCGGCTCGCAAATTAAATCGCACAATAAATACATAACCGGATATAATATATTTTTATAATACACACAATTTAAATTTTTAAATAATAATAATATTAGTAAAAATACAAATACACATTTTTAATTAAATAATAACATTAGTCAATTAGGCAATTTATTAATATTTAGACAATTAGTCAATTTGACAAATAAATCACATTCGACAATTTATAATTTATAGCATTCGATAAATAATAATAATAACAATTAAATATAAATAATAATAATAATAATAATAATAGAAATCCTCGAAAATTCCAACGTGAAACGGGGCATTACAGGCAGGGCTGCTCGACTCGTCGCGAAGGGTCAGCCTCCGACAATCGCGCTTGGTCTCTTCAGCCGTCGGGACTGAAGCTCTTCGCCGGCGGTTTCCCGCTTTCGGTTGCACGATCTCAGACGCCTGAAACTCGCCGAACTGTTCCTGCTCTCGCTGGAAATGGTCGGGTCTCACCTTTTCTGTCTACCGGACGGCGGCTGAACGCGACGCCTATGGAGGACACCTCGGTTTGAATCGGTTGGGGTTCGTGAGGGAAACTCGACGGGGTCTGAAAATTCAAACCGGGGCTCAACTGTTTGAAACAAGGTCGTCGGCTGCTCACTAGTTCGCCGGCAAGTTGCTGTGAACAGAAGCCGACGGACTGAGGGAAAATCATCGGCGATGGCTGAAAAGGGATCGATCTCCTTGCGAGGGGGATTTCTAGATCGCCGGCGCTCGGTTCATCTGATGGCTGGAGGTTGATGCTCGAGTGGGTCGCAGCCCCATAGGAGGTCAACGGTCGACGGTCGACGTTCACCTTCTCGCCGGGAAATTGGGGCTCAAGGTTGCGGCTTGCGGCTGATTTTTGTTAGGAAAAGGAGATGAACTTCTTCTCTTGCGTACAAAAAGAAAAGGAGACTAGGGCTAAAGCACAATGGGCTAAATGGGCCGGAATCAAACAATTAAACTGGGCGTGAAATTTTTATCCGAATTGACCGAAATTTCGAGATAAATAGGGTCGAATATTAAATTAAAGGCTCGATCGGAGAAAGGCTCGAAAATGAATCGAAACGGACTTAGAATCAGTTTACGCGATTAAACCGAATATCGCCGAAACAAAATAAATTTCTATTCAAATAAATCCGAATAATTCTAAGACTTATAAATAATAAACATAACGCATAATAATCATATATATATGCCACATAGATATTAAATAATAGGCAGATAAATTAGACGAGTAATTAATATCATAACCGACAATTAATTAAAAACGAAGGCGAATAATCAATATAAGCAAATAAATAATAATATAGAAATCCAGAAATTCTAATAAACGAACGGGGCGCTACCAACCTAGCAACGATTGATGGATCGCATGTTTAAATCTAAAATTGTGCGGAATATGGAAGTGTACGTGGACGATATCCTAGTAAAGAGCAAATCCTCGACATCACACCCTGATGATCTAAGGGAAACATTCAAAACCCTTAGGGAGTTTGGGATGAAGTTGAACCCAAGCATGTAACGCCCAACTTTATTTTAAAAAATTTATCGAATTTATTTAATAAAAATCAGAATTAATTTAAAACTTAACGGGCGCTACTTAATTTAACAAACATACAAAACATGTCAGATGGAACCTACATATGCAATACTAACTGTTATCAAATTGAGCGAAACATTTAATAGTGTCAAAATAACCATTAAGTAAAAAGGTTTGAATCCGACCAACACTTTTTTCAAGGTCAAACCAATTCAAACATGCTCAAATAAACCAACATAAGTTCATAAATGCGGAAGTAAATAATAATCATAAAAAGCAAGACCACCCACTCGCCTTGCCTCGTCACCAGCCAACTGCTTAACCTGCATCCGTGAAGAGCAGGTGGGAGTGAGTACAGTTGGAAAATATTGTACTCACACTATGTATATGAACAACTCAGAATATGTTAAGACGATATGGTCGCAACATGAACATAAACAATAATAATATCATGTCTCATCTCTAGTCACAGCTATGACTCTAGCCCCATCTATGGCTCACTCATGTGCACATCTACGCTCAACCATACCACATCTATGACACGGGAATGCGTGCCACGTAAGGACACGGCCTTATCTAAAGGTCTTAAGGAGATTTACCTCGTAAGGGTAACCGTATTACATCGACGGGGACAACCGTACCGATGGCCATCAAGCTCACATCGATAGGCTATATGTTCACATGCATACATAGATCATACCGGTTTAACACATATAAAACACATATTCATCGGTATTTTAGAATAACTAACCCACCTAGATTTCGAATTGATAATGCTCAACAAGCAATGGGATTAGGTCGAGACTTGACTCCTCAATTACCTACATTCGTTAGGACATGCCTTAGAATCTTATCAAGGCTTAACTTAAACTCACTAGTCTTACACATATACATAAGCTTTGAAAATTTGCTCGCTTGGCTTCACCTTGCTTGCCTTGTTCTGGAAACGTTTTATGTTCAAGTCTTATCGGTTGGTGGATATCTTAGCTTGCTTAACTTTTAACACTTAGTACATTGAATGATCATATAAACATCACATAGCATGAAACGGTTCAGTTATGCCACATAAACATGCTTTTAAACAATACAATTCGATTTAGAAACCTAAACATGAACTTGCACCAATTTGCAGCATGCGGGATGCATTTTAAATGCATGTAGCTTTCAGTCTACAAATCATATCATGATTAAACCACTTGAAAATATCCCAAACTCAGACCTCTATGAGTTTCATTAAGAACACTCAGGCAGACAAGATCATTTCAATGCACATAATACAGCAAACATCCAAAACATAAGTGTAGTGGATAAATGAAGATATACAGCTTGACAGGTCCTCAGTGTATGCAAAATAACCGAAGCTACAGACATGATATTACTTAAATTTAGAAACTTCAAGGTAGCTAACTCAATTCTCTACAACATTTTTGAAGACCCCATTGGAAAATAATAATATTATCAACGAGTTTAAATATAAAACATTTAGTTTACAAAAACAGCCAGAGAACAACTTTTTGAATATATAGCACCTTAGTAAAATGGCAACAACTCAAGCTACACAAATCTAATTCATACAAACTCAAAACTTACATAATCTAAAACATGGAAATATGCAATTGTTATGAAGAGTACTTTTTCATACGAACACGTTTGAGTCATCTAAACAGAGCACACATTTAACACTTAAACAAAATCCTATTTTCATAAAAACTGTGTGTACATCCCACTTAGAAAAATTATATAAAATCAACTAGAACTCCAAATTTCATTATTCTAATTCCTACAGGAATCTTACAACATATAATACATTTGTCATTAAGAATACATTTTCATACAGGCACGTTAAGATCATAAAAAACAGCCCTAAATTAAGGTTAAAGTCTCTGCCCAAGTTTATAAAAATGCATGCCTGTCTGTCCTAGAAAAATCATATAAAACCCACTGAAACCTAACTCAAAGCACTACAAAACTCAAGAAGAACACTTTTCCAAGAAACAACTTCTTGGTCGACAAAAAATAGAGCACAACTCAGGCTCGAAATTTAGGTTTTTATGCTTTTAACAACTCGAAACATTCGTACAATAACGTAGCTTCAAAATCACGTAAATTACACTTTAAGCAAGCCTCGATATCAATACTTTAAGACTTAAACATTCGATATATCGCAAACTCGTTGTCCGAGGTCCAACTCGGTTTTATTAAACACGACATATATATATAATATCAATAATAAATATATATACATACACTTATAATCTTTTAACACGAATATAACCCGTAGATAATTAACGAGAGATCAAGTATCGTTACCGTTCTCGAGAGGCGAGCGAGAATGGTTGAACGGGGTTGACGAGACGACAACGACGGCTCGCGGTGGCTAGCGGTGGAGAACGAGCAGGACGGCTTCGCTTCGTCTCACGGAGGAGAGGGGGAGCAGTCGCGGCGTAAGAAGGGATTGTTGTTGTGGTGTCGCGGCTGAGAAGCTTCTCACGGCAAGGAGAAGTTGCTATGCGACGGGACTGGTTCACGGCGAGGGACGGCTCGCGGCTGAGGAGCTACGTCGCGTGAAGGGTTGCAACGGAGGAGGGTCGTCGGAGGAGGCCTCGCCGGCGACTCACGAGCAGGGTGGCGCTGGTTCGCGGCGGAGGAAGGAGGTGGCGGCTCTGCTGTCGCCGGTGGCAAGGCGGCCTGTCGGGCGGTTTCGCAGAAGAGGAGGCTGCTCGTGGCTCGTCGTCGGGGAAAAAATTCACCGCTACTGCTCAAAGTTCGGTCTCGTGGTGGCGGCAGGCCTTGTGTCTTCGCCGGATTCCGGCTATGACTTCGGGCTGTGCGAGCTCGTCGGCGAGAAGGAAGGGTCGCGACGGGATTCTTCTTGCGTGAGATCTATTTTGCTGTTGCGATCGAGAGAGGAAGGATGAGGAAGAAGACTGAGATCGGACGAAAGGGAGAAGATGAGCGATGGCATGAGATTATATTGTCTGCGGGCGTGATTTCGGCTAGAGAGATGAAAGAGAGAGGAAGGGAGAGATAATTAAAAGTAGCGGGATGAATTCTGATAGAGAGAGGAGCGAGCAGATTAAGGCTAGGTTAAAAATATCTTGTTCTCCAAGATACACACACACACGCACACACAGTTAGGGGAAAACCGGGTCGGCCGGTTCGGTTCATCTGGGCCGAGTTCAGCTTTAACTTGTGGCTCGGGTTCTCAATTTTTGGTTTAGCCAATAAATAAGGCTCGGATCGATCGTACGATTATTAGAAATTAAACCAAATGATTATTATATATTATATATATTACGTACATTAATTATAATAATAATAATAATATACAGTTAGACAAATAATGACATTTAGACATTCATTTAATAATAATAATAATAATGATTATAGTAATAATCCAAAATAATTCATAAACAACGGTTTACGAATCGGCCAGTTTCGACTACCGGTTTATCGGGCTCAATTTCATAAAATCTGAACATATATAACGCTCGGAAAAATAAATAAAATAACAATATTAGTAATGTCGAATTATCCGAAAAATCCATTATTCAAACGGATTATTTTCGGTTCACGCAATTAAACCGAAATCGTCAAACGACGAACGTTTTTCAGTAAAACGATCGAGTACTCCAACCTTTTATTTAAGTCGACATCGCGACCAATAAATAAACATAACCTTATAAATAATATTCGATAAATAGAATAATCCGAGAAATTCTATAAATCGAACAGGGCGCTACAATCTATCCTCCTTAAAACATTTCCGTCCTCGGAAATGTGAAAGAACACGCATCTAAAGATAACGACAGACTCAAACAGGAATTTTCAATCACGAGCTCCGGGTATCACTCTCCGGAACTCGATTCCGTTCCCATGAGTCCTATCGCCTTATACTCGAAAGGCATGTACTCACATACAGGAACCAATCGGACTCGCCCTATGCTCATATGTTTACCTTCTTGCTTGGGAGGGTGATCAGTCCTGCCCTAGCTCAGGCGTACATCCTCTTGTAAGGGACCCAGCGTACTCCGGCTACCTCACATCAAGGTGGACACGTGACGCCAAGTTTCAGTCTCGTGCCCGAGTCACACTGATAACTTGCTCACGATTTCATCACGGACCGTGTGTCTCCATCAGAGACTATGACACGGTACCATATACATACAGCACGACACTATCATGCTCATACATGCGACCCAAAATGCTCATACTCTCAAGGTATCAACTCAATGAGTCGAACGCAACCTTTATGTGCAGACATAAGGATTGACCAATAGCAACACGACATTCTTAATTTGCCGACTCGAGAAACTCTCATGTAAAGCATTCATCGATTAAGGATTTACACACAATTTAGTGGGACTTGGGGTTCTCGGTTCAAGGCTCGCAAGAAAAAGCTTAAATAGGCTAACCAAATGGTTCAACATGAAACGTTTCGAACAGTTCAAGAAAACATCGATGGGTGCCGTATACGCTGGCCTGGGGAGTTCGTGGGTACGGTGATGGCGGTTGCATTTCGCATGCGAGTCAACGGTTGGCTACGTGCAAGCCTTCCGTCTCTCAGCATGGTCGTGCGTGCTCGGCCACCACTTCACGTGGCTACACCCAGCCAGGGCCGGAATTCGGTTCAAGGTTCCACAAAAAAATTGTCAGCCAAGACAGCCAAGGGAATACCGGTTACATAACTTATGAGAAATTTAAGGCTCAACCAAGCAATATATTATTTAGGCCTTCCACAATTTCAAAAGCTTGGGTTCAAAAACAAAACAATATGTCATTCGACTTTCCGCATTTCCAAAAGCTTCACGAGTTTCAGAAATGGCAAAGTGTAAGTCCGAGTTCCAAGTCCACTACTTTCCAAAACATCAAAACATCATACTCAACAGATCTAACGATTGCGATATACAAGATTTTCTCATAAGAATATTAATATAGTCCTCCAGTCGGGAAAAATCCCAAATCAGCAGCTCTTGCCGAGAGATATAATAGTTAGCTTCGCCCGACTCTTCCGACTAACAATGTCGGCTGTCACGTCAACTCTTATTCAAGTAGCTAACTGTGCCAGTATTCCTGATCGAACGCAACTCACTTTTCTATCTTCACACTATGGAATTCGAACGCGAAGTTCCTCCCGAAGTCCCGAAAGGGGTAGAAGAACGAAAAATTTCTACGATGAACAAAATTTAGAATAAGTACGGTTCCGCACTACACGATGTGCTTGCTTCGGACACGACTATCCTTCTTTTCTGCATAATCTCTTAAGGTGGAAAATCACTCCATCTTACTTATCGAACCGGATTGTGACGGCTTCCGCTCCCGTGCATTCATCCCGATGCCGAGCGTGAATAATTGTTGTCCTTCTCGAGGGTAAATTATTCACGAAAGTGGCGTAGAAAATTGTGCCCTCGAGTCTTAGATATAGTTTAGCGATGATATTCGAACGAAACTCACATACTTCGCCAACGAAATAAAGATAAGCAGAAACAAATAGATGCTTAATCTGACTTCTTGTTGGGTCTTTCAAAAACAAGGTCAATACCCAACTTAGGATAAATAAGAATTGTCTAAATTTCAAGAGAACACAAAATTTAAGGTTGAAAAGTTTGAAAAATTGCTTATATAGCGAAATCAAGGTAAGGGTTTAAACATATCCCAAATAAAACAAGAAATGAATTAGGTCGATCGCAAATTCCGGTGTCTATTGCTCCAGTTAGAGGTGTCACGAAACAAACGTCAAAAGATATCGATAAAACAATAAAACAAATAGATGATTCAGGGGAGTGTCTATGGCTAGAGGTGCACCTGTGTTGACTCACTTATTCTTTGCAGATGATGCATTAGCCTTCTGCAAAGCTACTAAATATCAGGCACATGTGTTATTATCTGTACTCTCTAGATACCAAAGGTTCTCTGGACAAAAAGTGAATACATCCAAATCTTCCATATTCTTTAGCAATAACACAAGTGATGTTACTTAGAGGGAAGTGTGCAGTGTAATCCCTGGCATTCAAATTCAGAGGTCAACCAGGTATTTGGGCATGCCACTTGGCATTGGGAGAACAAAGAAAGAAGTTTTTGGCTTTGTGTCTGAGGCTGTGAGAAAAAGGGTAGTCAGTTGGAAGAACAAGTACCTTTCCTCTGCAGGGAAAAAAGTCCTAATTAAATCCGTGCTCAATGCTCTTCCCTTGTTTGTCATGTCATGCTACAGATTGCCTGCTAGCATTTTGTAAGGAAGTGAGCAGCATTTTTGCCAATTTCTGGTGGAGTAGTGGAGGGGAGCAGAATAAATGGGTGCACTGGAAGAGTTGGGAACTCCTTACACTGGTCAAAGATAAGGGTGGATTGGGATTTAAGGAAGTGGGGTTGTTCAATGACGCAATGCTAGTCAAGCAGCTCTGGAGGGTAGTTACTCAACCTCAACTACTAATGAGTAAAATCATCAAATGCAGTTACTTCCCTAAATCATCTATTTTTTAAGCTAAGTTGAACCAAAATTCTTCCTGGATGAGGAGATCATGGTGGAAAGTGAGGTGGCTGTTGAGGGAGGGGCTGCAGGTGGAAATTAAAGATGAAGCACCGGTTAAGCTTAGTGACTATAATTGGGTGCCAGACATTAGAAGCAGGAAAATCCACTTGAAGGAAGGTGTTGAATGGGAAGATATATCTTTCCAAGAACTGCTTGATGGCAACAGCAACAGATGGAATACCCAAAGGGTGAGAGATTTGATTGCACAGGAGGATTGTGATGCTATACTACAAATTCGGGGGATTGATTTGATGGTGAGAAATAAGTGAAGATGGGAGTTAGGTGTGCAGGGAAGGTTCTCAGTATCAACTTCATATGCTTTTCTTCATCAAAAGAAGGTACTTGCTATGGATCTGCCTAAGGGAAGTAACACTGGCAGGAGAAATCAGAAGATAAGACTGAGAAGCTGGGGTCTGCAGGTGAAAAGCAAACTAAAACATTTCTTATGGAAGTGTGTTAGTGGAGCTTTACCTGTGAGTGTTAACCTTAGGAGGAGAGAGATTGAGCTTGATGTGATTTGCAGATGCTGTGGGGAAGCTGAGGATACAGTTGAACATGTTCTACTACATTGCAAGAGAGCTAAAAAGGTGTGGCAGCAAGCTCAGGTTAATTGGGATGGATTAGAAGCTGAAGGGAGCATATTTGAGGATTGGTGGGGATCAGTGTGATCAAGCAAGAATGCAGCTGTGGATGAAGCAAGAATAGAACTCACAACCTACATCCTTTGGTGGCTGTGGAAATCGAGGAACTTGTGGGTGTTTGAAGGAGAATGGAGGCCAGTTTCTGGCATTGTGAAAGGGGCATGGACTGAGTGGCAAGAATCACAAGTAATGAAGAGGTGTAGCAGATTCAGAGTGACATAGATAGGTCTGCCTTGCAGTTCAGTGTTTTTGTTTTCTCTGGTTTGTTGCATTTATGTCTGTAATCTTAATCTGATGTTTTGATTCTTAGCTGTATATCCCATTGAAGGGTTCAGAAGCTTGTTTCTGCCTTTGATGGTGATTAGTTATGATAGGTTGCTAGTTTGTTTGTAGCCTACCAAATGTGGTAGTGCTCCCTGGCTTAGCCTTCGGCTTTTATCTTGTTGTTGTTTTGGAACTTTGTATTTGATCTTATTGTTTGAATGGAGATGTTTCTATCGTTGGAAAAAAAAAATCCCATCTGGAATCTCCTCTAGGAAGGGAGAATCTAGCGAAAACACGAAAGTTGGATAACAGGCAAGGGTCTCAGAACAAACTTTGAACTTGCCTTCTAGGTAATTTAAACAAGGTTCTTGGACCTGCAGAGGCTGACCCAGAGTTATGGAAAAATAAGGTGCTTATCTCCATCCGATCTTCTTCTTACGTAAGGAAAGAAAAGACAAGCGAAAGTTTCAAAGTATGGAAATGGCATAGCCCAAAAGAAATCTCAAGCACAGTTTAACATTGGTCTGTCAAGTGAAAGGGAATAAAGTAAGGTTTGCAAAAGCCTACAAGAAGGCAAAATCTTAAGAAGGAAAAAGACGGCTTTGCTTCCTCAAGTCCACGATTTACTGCTCTCACTATCAATTCCTACTGTTCTGGTAAGTCCCGCTGTCGCTAGGAAATCGCTTGCGGTTCAAAATACGGAAGAGAATTTTTTACATCTCCTTCAAGATAGAAATGTCATTTGAGATTGCGACATAAAACATTCGCGCGGTGCCGGATTGGTCTATCCGCCTTAAGAACAAGGTCGGATTCCTTCCTTTGGGGATTTTGCAAAAGAATAGGTCACTATCGCCTCTCTCGAGAGTCGCGAAAGTGTTACGCTTTAAGTTCTCATACCACTCATCGTGGCCAAACAGCAGTGTGGACAAGGCACCCAGACTCTACTCCAGTCCACACTCGACTGGGTTCTAATATGCATCAAATGGTTTTATCTACCATGGTTACAGACTCCCAAATATCCCACACACCTGGGACGTCTTCGGTTGTCTGCTCCCTTCGTTTAAGCCTTCTCCTTTCGAGATGGCCCGCAAGTGGTCCTCATTCGAAGACATCAAATATACATCGAGAGGACTGTTATACACAGAACTCAGCTCGATAACATCATATTGAATCTCCAACAACAAAATCTCAACTTAGAACTTTACTCTATATCGCTAGAGTTCGAGTCCATACAACTATGGTTTGCCACTCATCTAGAGTTCCAAGATTGTTAAAAGCAGGAGGATAAATTTCTAAGCTCCGAGTATCAACATGTCATAACACAAGCAGTTTCATTTCTACTTATGCAAAAATATAAAATTCACATTTCACATTATAAGTATTTTCATTGATACTTATATAAACACATACCTTAAGCAGTGCGGCATGACGAAGACGATTGGTCTAAACACAAGATCATAATCACATAATCACGCTAATCACAAATATACCAGTCTACAGAAACGCAGACTGGCTCTGATACAAAACTGTAACGCCCCACTTTATTTTAAAAGACTTATCGAATTTATTTAATAAAAATCAGAGTTAATTTTTCGGAAATCTCATTTAAGTTTAAAACTCAACGGGCGTTACTTAATTTAACAAACATACAAAACATGTCAGATGGAACCTACACATGCAATAATAACTGCTATCAAATTGAGCCAAACATTTAATAAGTGTCAAAATAACCATTAAGTAAAAAGGTTCGAATCCGACTAACACTTTTTCAAGGTCAAACCAATTCAAACATGCACAAATAAACCAACATAAGTTCATAAATGCGAAAGTAAATAATAATCATAAAAAGCAAGACCACCAACTCACCTTGCCTCGTCACCAGCCAACTGCTTAACCTGCATCCGTGAAGAGCAGGTGGGAGTGAGTACAGTTGGAAAATATTGTACTCACACTATGCATATGAACAACTCAGAATATGTTAAGATGATATGGTCGCAGCATGAACATAAACAATAATAATATCATGCCACATCTCTAGTCAAAGCTATGACTCTAGCCACATCTATGGCTTACTCATGTGCACATATACGCTCAGCCGTGCCACATCTATGACACGGGAGTGCGTGCCACGTAAGGACACGGCTTATCTAAAGGTCTTAAGGAGATTTACCTTGTAAGGGTAACCGTATTACGTCGACGGGGACAACCGTACCGATGGCCATCAAGCTCACATCGATAGGCAACATGTTCACATGCATATATAGATCATACCATTTTAACACATATGCATAGGTATTTTAGAATAACTAATCCACCTAGATTCCGGATTGATAATGCTCAACAAGCAATGGGAGTAGGTCGAGGTTTGACTCCTCAATTACCTACATTCATTGGGACATGCCTTAGAATCTTATCAAGGCTTAACTTAAACTCACTAGTATTACACATATACATAATCTTTGAAAATTAGCTCGCTTGTCTTCGCCTTGCTTGCCTTGTTTTGGAAACGTTTTATGTTTAAGTCTTTTAGGTTGGTGAATATCTTGGCTTACTTAACTTTTAATCTTAGGACATTGAAGGATCATATAAACATCACATAGCATGACACGGTTCATTTATGCTACATAAACATGCTTTTAAACAATACAATTTGATTTAGAAACCTAAACATGAATTTGCACCAATCTTCAGCATGCGCGATGAATTTAAAATGCATGTAGCTTTCAGCCTACAAATCATATCATGATGAAACTACTTGAAAAATATCCCTAACTAAGGCCTCTATGACTTTCATGAAGAACACTCAGGCAGACAAGATCATTTCAATGCACATAATACACCAAACATCCAAAACATTGGTGCAGTGGATAAATGAAGACATACAGCTTGATAGGTCCTCAGTGTATGCAGAATAACCGAAGCTACAGACATGATATTACTGTAATTTAAGAACTCCAAGGTAGCTAACTCAACTCTCTACAACCTTTTTGAAGACCCCATTGGAAAATAATAACATTATCAACGAGTTTAAATATAAAACATTTAGTTTACAAAAACAGCCAGAGAACAACTTTTCGAATATACAACACCTTAGTAAAATGGCAACAACTCAAGCTACACAACTCCAATTCATACAAACTCAAAACCTACAGAATCTACACATGGAAATATACAATTTTTGTGCAGAGAAATTTTTCATACGAATACGTTTGAGTCATCTAAATAGAGCACACATTTAACACAAACAAAATCCTAGTTTCATAAAAACTGGGTGTATATCCCATTTTGAAAAATTATATAAAATCAACTGAGACTCCAAATTAAATAATTCCAATTCTTACAGGCCTCTTACAACATATACTACATTTGTCATGAAGAATACATTTTCATACAGGCACGTTAAGATCATCAAAAACAGCCATGAATTAAGGTCAAACTCTCTGCCCAAGTTTATAAGAACTGCATGCCTGTCAGTCTTAGAAAAATCATATAAAATCAATTTCAAACCCAACTCACAAGATTCTAAAACCCACTAAAACCTAACTCAAAGAACTACAAAACTTATGGAGAATACGTGTCCAAAAAACAACTTCTTGGTTGACAAAAATAGAGTACAACTGAGGCTCGAAATTTAGGTTTTTATGCTTTTAACAACTCGAAATCACGTAAATTACACATTACGCAGGCCTCAATATCAATACTTTAAGAATTAAACCTTCTATATATCTCAAACACGTTGTTCGAGGTCCAACTCAGTCTTATTAAACACGACATATATCTATAATATCAACAATAAATATATATAAATACACTTATAATCTTTTAACACGAATATAACCCGTAGATAATTAACGAGAGATCAAGTCTCGTTACCGTTCTCGGGAGGCAAGCGAGAATGGTTGAACGGAGTTGACGAGACGACAATGACGGCTTGCGGCGACTAGCGGTGGTGAACGAGCTCGACGGCTTCGCTTCGTCTCATGAAGGAGAGGAGGAGCAGTCGCGGCGTGAGGAGGGCTCGATGTGGTGGTGTCGCGGCTGAGAAGCTTCTCACGACAAGGAGAAGTTATTGTGCAACGGGACTGGTTCACAGCGAAGGACGGCACGCGGCTGAGGATCTGCGTCGTGTGAAGGGTTGCGACAGAGGAGGGTCGTCGGAGGAGGCCTCGCCGGCGACTCACTAGCAGAGCGGCGCTGGTTCTCGGCGGAGGAAGGAGGTGGCGGCTCTGCTGTCGTTTGTGGTAAGGCGGCCTGTCGAGCGCTTTCACGGAGGAGGAGGCTGCTCGCGGCTCATCGTCGGGGAAAAACTTCGCCGCTACTACTCAAGGTTCGGTCTCGTGGTGGCGTCAGGCCTTGTGTCTTTGCCGGATTCCGGCTATGGCTCCGAGTTGTGCGAGCTAGTCGGCGAGAAGGAAGGGTCGCGACGGGATTCTTCTTGCGTGAGATCTCTTTTGTTGTTCTGATCGAGAGAGGAAGGATGAGGAAGACGACTGAGATAAACGAGAGGGAGGAGATGAGCCATGGCGTCATATTATATTGTCTGCGAGCGTGATTTCGGCGAGAGTGATGAAACCGAGAGGAAGGGAGAGATGATTAAAAGTTGCGGGATGAATTCTGATAGAGAGAGGAGCGAGCAGATTAAGGCTAGGTTAAAAATATCTTGTTCTCCAAGATACACACACACACACGCACAGTTAGGGGAAAACTGGGTCGGCCGGTTCGGTTCATCTGAACCGGGTTCGGCTTTAACTTGCGGCTCGGGTTCTCGGTTTTTGATTTAGCAATAAATAAAGCTCGGATTGATCGTACGATTATTAAAAATTAAACTGAATGATTATTATATATTATATATATTACACACATTAATTATAATAATAATATGTAGTTAGACAAATAATGACATTTAGACATTCATTTAATAATAATAATGATAATAATAATAATCCAAAATAATTCGTAAAATAATGATAACTAGAATAATCCGAGAATTTCTATAAATCGAACGGGGCGCTACAAAGCAAATGTGCCTTTGGAGTAAGGGCGGGACGGTTCCTGGGATATGTCATCATAGAGCGAGGAATCGAGGTGAACAAAGACAAAGTGAAGGCCATACTCGACATGGCCCCACCACGAAACATTTAAGAAGTACAAGTCCTAACAGGAAGGATTGCGGGGTTGAGCAGGTTCATTGCTCGAGCAGCTGAGAAGAGCTTTCCTTTCTTTAAATTGCTCAAAAAGACTTTCTTATGGAGTGACGAGACGCAAATGGCGTTTGAGAAGTTGAAAGAATTTCTGAGTGAGTTTCTTTTACTGACAAAACCTGAGCCTGGTGACGAGTTAGTATTGTACATCTCGGTGGGATTGGTCTCTCTAAGTTCGGTGCTGCTTCGAGAAGAAGGAGGTTCCCAGCAGCCGATATATTACACCAGTCGAGTACTCTAGGGAGCGGAGACGAGGTACTATGAAGTCGAGAAAGCCGCCTTGACTCTGGTAATAACGGCCACAAAGTTGGGGCTGTGTTTTCTAAATCATACAATAGTGGTGAGGACAAACTTCCAGCTTGGAGAAACTTTGGGTCGACCTACAGTCTCATGTCGACTCGTGAAATGGACAGATCGCTTAGAGTAATTTTTGGAGAGGGACTAGATGATATAGCCATAATATGATATACCGGTCCAAGTGCTACCTGCTCAATCGGGATGACGATTGCAACCACCTTCATGTCGATTAGATAAGATTAAAGTCGACATCCTTAAGTCGACACCTCGATAATCAATTCCCCTTTATGAAGTAACCGAAGAGGGATGTCGATTACCAAAGACGACTTCTAATAGTCAACATCCCTAAGTCGACTTCCATAAGTCGACCTCCATCGAGAAGACAAACAAGCGTAGCCTCTGAATACTCATATGATCCTAAGTCGACCTCCCAATGCTCGATGTCGACTTTTGGCACCTCGAGCCCCAAAACACACTAACGATTCAGTACACTTGCAGTATCTTTTGAAGTCTCATATCCTCTAATGGATAAGAAAGAATCTTGTGATGACTAAGCAGAGAGGGGAGACGAACAGACCGAGGAATTTTAGACATTTCAAGTGAGTCGACCAGGGCATTCTGGGTACTCCAAGTAAGTATTTTCTCCTATATAAAGGAGGTGAGGTAACCCTAAACCCTAAATTCCGTTCATTCCATACACTTTCCTTTGCTGTTGTTGCTACTCTCTCAAAGCAGCCTTCTTCTTCCCTTTCACATGCTGACTTGAGCGTCGGAGGCTCTACGCCGGAAACACTTCCGGCGTTGAGTTCTTGCAGGTGTTGTTGCGGTCTAACAATGGTTCAAAGGCGATTCAGACAGATCGGAGCTCATTACCACCGGTTCACTTCAGATCCAGAAGTAGACCCATCAATCTTTTTTTTTTTTTGTAACAACCTTCACAATATGAACGGATTATTTAGGTTTATTTTTTATAAGAACTTTCATATTTATTTACACAATATCTGGTCGAAATTTGGTAAGGGGTTCGAATTTTTAGCATAATTTTTATTGTAACAACCTTCACAATTTGATTGGATTCTTTAGGTTTTTCTTTTTGTAACAAATTTAATAAAAAGGTTGTTGGAATAAATACATAAATAGTAATTTTGACTTAAAAAATAAATGACTGACTTACTTTTATAAGTAACAAATAAAATACGCACGTGATAAATGGTTCAAAAATTGGATATTTGGATTGTATATTGCCAAGCCATTTTATTTACTATCTAAATTGATCCTTTTATTATTTCCTACCTAAATCAATGTGAATCTTTTAAAATAAAAAATTATTAGGTTTTTAAAACTCAAATCAATAACATGTTACGTAAAAAAGTTGTGAAGTACTCTCACAGGTGACTCTCTCTCGCGAAAAAAAAAAAGAAAAGAAAAGAAAAAACCTAACCCCCAAAGGCGCCTTCCTCATATTCTCAGTCGTTTCGCCTTCCTCAGCTACGGCGGGGCTCGGCCAGTAGTCGTCCTTGACTGCTCAACACATCCCTGTTGGATGTGGGATTCCTCTCAAGCAATTGAATTGCCTCATCCCACGCCTTCGATTTTGCGGCTACTGGTGGCTGATTTTGCTGGCTTCGCTTGTTCCGGCGGGGCTTGTGGGCTCTGGTCGCCGGTCCCTTGTCTGCGGTGGTGTTTGGCCGGGGTGTGAGCCAGTGGGTAGGGCGTGGCTCCGGCGGCAGCGTTGTCTTGTGTCGGGGCGGTCGTGATTGAGGGACCGAGCCACTTTCACTTCCTTGGTTCTCTGGTGTTGGGGACGGAGGGGGGACTGGGACTCCGAGCTCGGCTAGTGGTGTTAGACGAGCTCGGGCAGTGCCGGTGTTGGGATTTGGTTGTGGTTCCTCCGGTTGGGGGCGGGCCAATTTTGGGTTTAGTTCGGGGTTCAGGTTCAGTTTCTGTATAGGCAGTTCGGCAGTTTCGGAAACAGTCCCTCGGGCTTGGATCTTTCTTGGAGTCGACTATTTCTCTGTTGGTTCGGCCCGATTGTTCTGTTGTGGAAGGGCTCGTGTCTCTTTTTTATGTTTATTTGTTTTTATTTTGTGTGGTAGATTTGTGTTTTTAGTTTGGGCAATTAGCCCCTGTTAAGCCCGAGTGTGAGCGTATTATCCTGTTGGGACCGTACACTCGGGTATTATCCTGTTGGGATCTTTTTTCGTAGTTGTTTAGTTTTTGTTTGTGTTGTTGCGAGTTTGTTATTCTAGCGTTGCTAGGATAAGCTCTAGGCGATCTTCGGATTGTCCTCCCAGACTTATTCAGCCTTTGGTTGTACTTTTCAGGTTTTAGTTGTTTTCTCTTCGCACTTTGTGCGGTCTTTAGTTATAAAATTTCTCTATTGTTTTTTTTTGGAAAAAATAATTTTATATGCAAAAACCAATTTGTCTCATCTTTTTTATTAATTTATCAGATCTATTATGAAATAACGTACAATTTCTTCTTACGGGATATCCTCACGCCGATTTAGTATCCATTTTTTAATTAAAATATTTAATGTTTTTTTTTAATTCAAGTTTTTTATATTTCAAACACAATATCCAACACAATTCATATCCTTTTTTTTTCTTTTTAACAAAATTTGATAAATTTTTTGTTTGATTTCAATCCTTCAATTATTTAGGGAAATAAATTCAAATCAAATTAAAATCCAAATGCAAATAATTTTAAATTCAATCATCTTTTTATTTTTTTAATGAATTAATTTTGTGATGTATACTCGGTGCATATATGCTACGATTTTTTTATTTCAAGTAATAGTGATACACTCCCAATACAACTCTTTTAAACAACTCTTCATACACATTAAAAAATGTTTGCTAATAATTATCTTCCATAATATGATCTTCTTTCAATTTCCTAACAAAATCCGTGTGAATCTCTAAAAATTGACAGATTTTGAGGTTTTGAAAATTTAAATGAATTGATATCCCATAAAATTGGCAAATTTTTAGGTTATGAGAATTCAAATCAAATTAGATTTTTTATCCTGTTTCCTTTTGTAACAAAATATGTTAGCTTTGAACTTTGTGTCAATCATTATCCAATTAGTTAGGAAAATAAAATAAAATCAATTTAATGTCAATCCTAGATTACATTACCAAATATCTGAAAATTCTATTTTCAAATGTTTTTTTTTATATTTGTTTTCTAAATTGAAATTTATAAGTAGATGACATATGCACAATCATTATATAAACACCACAGTGGTGTGATCATTGAACCAAACATCGACAGGAAATAATGCGTCCCACAAAACAAATTTGAATCAGTTTTTCCATCCCCATTCAAAATAACTTTGGTTTTTGGAAAAATCAAAGATATAAAAGAACTAATAGGCCAACGATCAAGCTACTCATTATTCTAATGTTCCAACGCATTGAAGACGAGCGCAATTATCGAAACATTAAGATTATTTTTCACGATTCTGAGGTAATTTGTCCTTATATTATTATTTATATGCATCATTTTATGCTATATTATTGTTTTGTACGTTCTAAATTTTTGTTTATTTTTATTTCAAAAATTTTATATACTTAATTCAAAATAATAAATATATTATGACAATTTAATATGATGAATTGTCTTATATTTTTTGTAGATGTTATTGGGTTGGTTGTTTCTATACAATCTATTCAACTGAAGATTGTCGATGGAGTTCCTACCTAAATGATCGTCTTCTCTCTTATGGACTTAGAGTCAGTATCCTTACCATTATTTATTCATATTGTTGATCTATCCGTATATATAATAATTTTTTTGAATTTATTTAACATATAAAATGCCTTTTAAATTTTTCCGAAGCAGCGAACTAGCCTAGCAAGGGCTATTAACATAGCACCTGGGCTGGAGTACGAATGTCAT